CTGCCCCCCGTCAACTGTCTTCCTTGCAGCCCTGCAAATGCGCTGCAAGAATATTGATACTCTGCTGTTGGGCACTCCAGGGATACTCTGCGCTTGGGCACTGCAGGGATAGTTTTCGGTTAGGCCCTGCAGGGATTTTTGGTGGTTGGACACTGCAGGGATACTCTGCAGTTGGGGGCTTAAGTGGTACTTTGCAGTTGGGCACTGCAGGGATACTTGGTGGTTGGGCACTGCAGGGATACTTGGTGGTTGGGCACTGCAGGGATACTTGGTGGTTGGGCACTGCGGGGATACTTGGTGGTTGGTCACTAAGGTCAGCTTCCAGTCGGGCGAGGACAACATCTACTTTAAAATCTAACAACCCCACTGCGAGGGTGGGGAATAACCCCCTTTAAGGAGTTTAGGTTATGGCTCATCTGCCAGAAATGAAGAAGGTTTTCATTACTTATATGGGGAACCCCGACGGACAGGCTTTCAGAATCATATGCAAAATGCATGTCCAGCAGGTCTTTGAGGAGACTTCACGATGTACAACATTCAGGACATCCTGTCCACCAAGCAACATGGCAGAAGGTCCTTGTTAAAAGCCCTGAACCCTGACTGGTGCGCCCCAGTTGAGATCCTATCTGCTTGATAGCTCATGCGGGCAACTTGAACTGAGGGTTCTCCTAATTTCTAAAAAGCATACTTTAAACAAAGTTTCAAACACAACTGTTGCAAGGCCCTTGGTGACTGACAGAGTATAGAAGCCCCAACAATCTCAGCGGTACATTTTTCGGATGGGGCTTAGGGTTGTTCTTTCACCTTCCCCGAAACTACATGCAAGCCCATATAGCGCCATTAGCACAAGGACAGGAAGTCTTATTTCGGGAGAGTGTAAACCTTGAACCATATACATCCCGATGTGACTCTACGTAATTCCAATAATCTATCCCTACATGCCGCCTATTGTAGTAGTTGCCATTTTATTTTCCATTACCCCAATATAATCCCAATATAACCCCAACATAATTCAACATAGTGGGGGCTCCCCATGTAGCCCATTCAACGGTTCCATGGTAGTTGGTGGGAGGTACCTTTGGAAGCCTGGGGTCAGCTCAAGCTCAACCTCTCAAAACATCTTAGGGTTAAGGGTTTAGGATCTACTGCTTAGGGTCAGAACTGAATGTTTATCTTCCGAACTGGACGTCGAACATATGCACTCACCAATATTTTCTAACGAACTCTATATGCACTCACCAGCCACTATGACGAAAGCCCTCCTTAAGTATGGGGATATACCGTGGGGAAAGGAAAGGACATCGAAACTCACATGCTATGTAGGGCTACGGTTCAGGGTTTCAAGCTTGTTGAACCAAGTGCGGTCATATTCTTCTTGCCACAGGATGTGGTTTAAACGAACTTATACTCTTACTCTATACTACTCAGTGAAAAGAAGAAAAACTTGAGCTATCTACAGCATCCCAGATATCCCTGACAAAATGCACCTACCGTACAAGTAGCAGCAAGCATGTTCCAGTTGTTTCATCTCGCATGTCGGAGGAAATGTGAGGAAATGCTAGCTTCCGTAAATGGGGGGACCCCAATATAGAACCCTAGGAGACTACAGTTCTCATTATTAAGACCCCCCAAAATCTTGACACCCTAAACCTTATACATCCCCCATTATGGCCATGGGGACCCTTAGACAGGTTTAACCTAATTTTGGAAAACTCCCAAACGTGCAGGAGCCGCACTGCATTGTAGTGAACGCAGTCTAGCCGGAGATGGTCCGACATCATCTTCCTAACCCTGAGGCGGGTTTAGGGTTTTAGGGGCGCTTGGGGTTTGGGATTTTGGGCTTCCCATGTACGAAACTGTATACAAATCTTGCATAATACACCCCGCACCCCCCCCTCCCCACAAAAAAAAAGAAATACATGCCAACCATTTAGGCCACTAGATTGTAGTGTGGCCAGCTAGGAGATAGGCCTTCACAACCTACTTCCAATTACTTACAACAACCTACAGCCCAAACACAGCCCCTGACTCTTATACCTCAGATATAGCTTGAATCACACTTTTGCTACACTTTCCCAAAAACAAAAAACCCTTGAACCATGCTTCCCTTAAACCTCCAAAACCAAACCCTAAACCCTTAAACCCCAATCCCAGCACTTCCCCTAGACCTATATAAATACTCAAAGCATACTTCCCCTTGACCTAAAGGTAGCGTACGGGGGTTATTTAGGGATTGCGGTTTCCCGAAATGGTAATGCAGATTGTGGTATGTTGGGGGTGTACGTTGAGGTCCTCCCCTTTCATGGAAACTACCCAGTACCACATAGCTGAAGAAATATTTTGGCCCCCATACTGCAGTAGAAGTTTAGGGTTTAGAGTAATAGAGGGACCTGTATCATCATGAACCTAGGCCAGTCCCCACATGGCTAAGCCCTAAACCCTAAACCCTAGTAGATTTCTGGTCGCACAGGATCCTGTTCAAGGATGGGGGATCTTCTAAGGACCCTAGCATGGGCTGGCCTTTATGCCGGACACTTAGCTTTGGGGTCCTGGTACCTTGCATATGCCATACGCATGAAGGTACGGACGTGTCCGACGCAAGAGCCATGATATCTTAGCTTACATTAGGATCGGCAGAAAGTTACAACATCTGGCCTCCCTAGTCCCATTTACAGCACAAGTGGTTCCAAAATCGCACTTAAAACACATGCCTACGCTAGAAGCTCGAGGAAGAGGTCTTGTTCGGATACGTACCGATACAAAGATACAAGCACGGCTTCGGCCCTAAACCTAACAGCCCCGTAACGCACCCTCTTGTGCGGATGGTAATCTTTGCTGGGCCCTCGCAGGTGTTACACATTCGTTTGGGGAGTATATGTCATCACCCCATTGGCCCTAATTATACAGCCCTACAACCTAGTCTAAGCTCCTAGTATCCCCTGAAATAATCCCGTATATAACCCCTTTGAGGAGTTTAGATTCTGGCTCACATATCCCTCTATCCCCATCAATAAACTAAAAACAGAAGCTATTGAGTTTCCTGACCCCCGAAGGGCTAACCTTTGTAATTGCCAATATGAGCTATAACCTAAACTCCTAGTATCCCCCTGAATAAACACTATAAGGCTCTCTTATATAATCCCCTTTATAACTCCCCTTTAAGGAGTGTAGACTATAGCTCCTATAGACCCCGCCCCCCCAACGTCAAAGCTTCATGCCTTCGCTGCTGAGAAGCACTCAACCCGAGTCCCGAAACCCAGGGCCCTGAACTTGAACCGCCAAACCCTATAACCCACTAGATGACCCCAGCTTCTTGTTTTCCTTGATCTTCCCCAGCTGATTCTGAATGGTCCCCTAACCCTATGGCTTTGGGCATATTAGAATAAGATCCCCATATACCCCATATTCCTAAACCCTAAGCCCTAAACCCCAAACCCAATCCGTAGCTTGGAGTACACCCCAAAAAAAAGTACAGACTTTTTAGGCATAAGTTGCTACACTAAGAACCCAGGAACCCACAAAGTATTAAAGTGTAATACTCCAATATTGGGTCATATACCCCAAATCCCCTAAACCCTAAACCCTTTTCTTAAGGGGGACTGTAAGCTCCCTGCAGGGCAACAGCGCGTTGCCATTCGAATCCCCTCTCACCTTGCAACTTCCGGTTATTAGGGCTTAGGGCATGTATAGGGTCTATTACTAGGGTTTAGGGTTTAGGGTCTATTAGAAGTGCTAAGCCCCCCTAAAGTAGATAGAATATGGGGTATGTGGGGATCTTGCTATCATATACCCAAAGCCATATTCTATCTACTTACGGGGGACTATAGGCTTAGGATTCAGAATTAGGATTCGGGTCTGTTGGAGGTATAGGGTGTAGTCAGCAGCGACCCCCCCCCGAATTCTCATACATTAGACCCCCCCTCCAGATGGACATGGAAACCCATCCTTGAGGAGCAACGCTCGTCGTGCAGCGAATTTCTCAGGTCCTTCCATGATGGCTTTGGTGAGCGTAAGCCCCTTTCAGCCCAGTCCAAGGCCCCAGATCCACCAAATCGGGGAGGTCCATGAAAATTATCACGGCATGCTTACCCCTTCATCAGCTACGCCCACACAAGGGATCCATTACCCTGGGATCCATAAATATGCCCTCTATATATACCCTATAGGCCCTAAAGGTTCCCCGAAAGGGTCCTACTTGTGGCTTGACAAGAATAACAGCGGTAGTATTTGTTTGGATGCGCATGGTCATCAATTTTATGTCAGACTTCCGTACCGATCAAGCTCTTTAAAGCCGAATGGAGACCCAGACAATCTTGATGGTAGCTTCCATAAATAGGGGGGCCCAAGACCGAACCCCAAACACTGTCATCCTTATACTAAAGTGACCTTCCCAAAAGTATCCTAACTTTGGGAGACCCTATATGACCTAAGGCAGATCTCAGCCATGTAGGCAGATCACGAACTTCTAGCGCTATCCACAACGGTAGGACATTCTCCGATTGTCACTTGGGTTTAAGCTATCACCCAATCCACCAATCTATAGCCGTCTCACCACGAACCCCATATGTAAGTTATTATACATGTTCGCTAAGGCTGCTGCAAGCGCTGATGGCCGCCCCGTACGTGAAAACGTCAACGTGCGGTCCACTTTCAGCCAACAGCCTCAAAATCAACAATGGCTCGATGTTTCTCAGAATAGGGGGGGTCTCATAGAGTCCCTTCAAAAAGCTTATCGCGTTTACATGTTGGGTTTAGGGAGCATCAAACGTATTGGGACGTAACGGGAGGGGGGGAGGGACGTGGTTTCCTACAACCATCCTCACACAACCCCGATCATCCACCATAAGCAACAACAGGCAAAACGCTAAAGCGGTTTCCTAAACTTACAAGCTGGGTTGGCCGCTAAAACCCTTTGAAAAATGTTAGTATATAGGGTCCCTTATTAAAGCCATTAGGGAAAATATGAAATATCCCAGGGGCCTACCCAGCAAGGTAGTTACAGTACCTAAACCCTAAACCCTAAACCCGTTACAAGGTAAGGAAAAGCTTAGGGCTGAGGGTGCCGGGCTGTAGCTCTGTGGGGTCCGGATTTGGCAGTCCGAGGGGCTTTTAGGGGCTTGCGCAAGGGTTTAGGGTTTTAGGGGTTCAGGATTTAGGGGTTTAGGGTTTAGGCTTTAGGGCTTTGGGTGGAGGATTTAGGGCTTACGGTTTCTCATGTTGAGCTTGGTATGATTCATGTAGGGCTACAAGGATTTGTTTTTGCCTACGGAGGCTTTTTTGCCTACGGGTCTACCGAACCCTTAATTCTAGGTCCCGCCAACTGGACCGGTTTAGGATATAGGTGTAGGGTTTGGGGTTTAGGGCGTCGGTGCTCAGGGCTTCAGGGATCAGAACCTTCAGAATGGACCAAGCCCTTAACTTGTGACCAAACTTAAAGCTCAAGGCCATGTACAGGCAGACACAGGTTGCCAAGGGCAAATGCAAAACAAATTTGAAATTTTCCGTCAAATCTCCCGACCTGAAACCCATACAACTTGTTTACACGCTTGGGCCTATACCCTAAATTGTTAGACCCTGGCGTCTACATCCGTTCAGCCAGCATGCTGGAGTTTGGGAATTTCAGGTTTCGGGTCGAGTTGTTGAAATCTAGCTTTGCTGCCTGCATAGTTGTCGGTGCTGCATGAAAGTTGGTCCCCACATAGCCTGCGTGCCTTTCTTATGGGTTTCCCATACCCTTCTAGGCTGCAGGTAGTTGGGATGGTAAGGGAATGAGGAAGAATTCTGAGTGTAGACGTTCAGGGCGGGCTTCAAGAATCTTAGGCTTATAGGCTGCTTTCGCATGTCAAATTGCCAAGTGGTGGGAAGCCACCTTTGAAACCATTCTGCTTTTTGAGGACCATGGATGCCTTGCAAGTCATACTGCGGACATACACAGGTAGAAAGGCGGGGGCAGTTACACTTGCGCTCCACCAACATACAAAGCGGTTAACCTGAGCCAGTGCCATGGTATACGCTGATGCTGGTGCTGCCGAGCGTTCAGAAATCCCCACACAAGTAGGGTACCTCTTTTATGGTGGCGGAGGGCCTGGGCACCTCAAGCCTAAACCCAGGGAAATCCCTCTTGGATACTCTACTAAGCTCGCAGCGCCAAAGATAAGTCCCAGCGGAGCCCCTGCGCATGACAAGCATATACTGTGGGGGACCAAAAAGTTACGAACATGATTGTAGGCTTTAGGGTTTAGGGTTTTGAGGTATATTTAAAGTACCCTATACTATGGCTATACAAGGACTCCTGAACCATAAGATGTCATGGTTTAGGCTCCTTTTATATTTGAAGCCGATGCTTCCTTATAAGGTGTTACGAATGTATAGCACGACGCTGCAAGTTTTTGGGGCTCAGAATTGGGGACCCTAAAGATACCTAGACAGTTAGAATCCCGTTCTAGGGCCTGTATATACATATGGTGGGTTTCCCAAAATTTGGGGTACCATTTTGGGGTCCCCATATTACGGATTATAGTATATTGGGGTCTATATTGGGGTCCCCTTATTTAGGGAAACTACCATATATCTATCTGCATAAGGGTCACAAGGGGATAGTATCAGGCTTCCGCATAAATCATATCGTGGCTTGAGTGCAGGATGTGCTGATTCACCCTAAACCCTAAAGCTTGAACCCGCGTTTAGCCTGAATGCGGGGTCTCTTCTTCGAGGTTCTGTAGTACACCCTAAAAGGCTTTAGATTGTGTCAATCCCCACCCAGTGATGGGTACCACCCATTGTGGGTATATTTACGGCCCTATGAATTCCATATCGGGGAGCCATTACCATAGGGGGGAATTGACCTAAGGTTTAGGGATCAAGCTTCCTTAAGCTCCCCAACTCTAAAGCAAGTATGACATAGTCATCATCCTAAACCCTAAACCCTTCTTAAACCCTATGCATGACATAGTGATCCCCGAAAAGATAGGAAATACAGGATCAAGCTGGGTTATGAGGCGACTACGCCATTCCTAACAATGGAGCGCTTAAGGGCAGTTTCCCAAAATAGGGGGACCCCAATATTGACCCCAAAGTACTATAATCCGTATTGTGGGACCCCCCCACCATAATATACCCTGAACATCTGAGCTATAGTCTAAACTCCTAGCATCCCCCTTAATAACCCCTATAGTAGTCCCCTATATAATCCCTTATATACCTTCCTTTAAGGAGTTTGGACTATCGAACATCTGAATTCAAGGGCGCCCAAAAGCCTCTGAAACCCAACCCTACAGGATGAACCCGGAATCCTACCAACAGTGAAGGCGCCGCGCCAGAGACCCACTGGGTTTAGGGTGTAGGGCTTAGGATTTAGGGGTTAGGGTTATAGGGTTTAAGGGTTAGAGTGTAGGTTTAGGGGTTAGGGCCGGTCTACAACTTTTTGGGCCTACCTGTCGCGAGCTGCCTTATAAGTTAGGACCATGAATAGATTAAGCGTCGTGTACCTTCCCCACACGAACATGGAAGCTGATACCCTAAACCCTAAACCCTAAACCGTGATGATATGGTCGCCCTTTGCAGGGGACAGCGCTCTTCGTAGGGACGCTCTTGTATGCTCCCGCAGAATTCCTAATCTCAGGTTCCATTCATGTTCCACGTGTTTTCCGTTTTATTCCCCATTATCATAAGGAGCTTAGATGATCTTTTGACTTAGTAAGTCTACCTACTATCCCTAATACCCCCTATTATAAGCCCCATTACCCAAGTTACTAAATGAGCTATAGTCTAAACTCCGAGTATCCCCCTTAATATCCCTTATAGTAGTCCCCTGTATAATTCCCTATAGAACCCCCTTTAAGGAGTTTAGACCAAGAGACATCACAGCATGTCTGGAAAAATGCTCCCAGGGTTTGCCAGGATGGTTTCTGTGTTATACTATACTGTAGCATATTAGTGGTTATGTTATAAGTAGATTATAGTCTATCATGGTATACTATAGTAAATCATAGTGTGTGTATATATGTAATAGTATATCATAAGACATTTTACGCTTGATAGTAAAACCGTACGTCCTAAACCCATAAACTCGACTTGGTCTTCGGGCGCCTTTCCACAGGCGGTGATGGCCGCTCTGTACAGAAGTTGGTCCGACTTCGTCGTGGAACCTCGGGATATGAAAGCTACGTAAGGCTCTGCGTGAAGATCATACAGGAATAGTATCGAGGTTTACCAGGCTTATTCTTTATTGAGCCCTTCCCTAGACCCTAAACCTTTTGGGTTTCACGGCTTATGGCATGAGATTTGGGATTTTCCAAGATTTGGGGTCCAGGGCAGAGGGTCGAGCGACGAGGCTTCACATTCCTTCAAGATGAGGGGCAAGATGTACCAGTGACTCCAATTGCCCACAGTTGTATGGGTTATATCAGTTATACACCTAACTAAAAAGCTATACGTAAACTGTAGGTCATCGGAATTACTGGTACATAATATGTGGGTTCATCTATAGAATGACCAAAACCCCTCTTTGGTGGCAGTAAAAACCCTGTGCCTCCACCGCAGAACAGACTCTGCTAATAACTAATGCCTTGCTAGCATTCGATTGCAACCCTGTCTGCGCCCTAAACCCTGAACCTTACATCCCTAACCCCTGGTTGTTTTGGGGTTGCAGGCTGTTTCTCATGTCCCTACCCTTTGTGGTCATTGGAAGGACTCGACATGAACCCGCTCAGCAAATGAAGAATACTACTGTTGATGGCGGAAATCTTGCACCATCTAAGGACCAACGACTATGGTAATTCCTAGGACTTTCCAGGGTTTAAGGAGTTGCAGCATTCCTCCATAAATCACCGGGGAGTCAATAGCCCAGGGGATGCATTCAACTATATCAAGTCTTTTTTATACAGGATCTGCAGCAGCAACAATATGGTAGTTTCCACAAAATGTGGTTCAAACATCAATCCCAGTACGCCTATAATGAAGATTATATGCTATAATCCTTTTATGGGGGGCCCCTGAACCCTAAACCCTAAACCCTTATTATGGGGCCCCCATATCTGCCAGCTTCCTGGAACCGGGCATTGAAGAGCAGCAGCGCGAGCCTTGGCACTCCTTCCCTGACTTTGAGACACCCCATTGGGGTTTAGGGTTTAAGGTTCAGGGTTTAGAGGTTTATGGTTTAGGGTCTAGGGTTAAGGGTTAAGGATTTAGGGTTTTGGGTTTAGGGTCTAGGGCTTAGGGGATAGGATGTATATCAAGGGTTTTTGGGTTGTACCACTAAGGTAGTACCCCTAAAAGGTTCTCCCAACATAGCCCTTATATGTAGTCCCCAAGAGTCCTTTAAAAGGATCCCAAAACTAAGGGGTATAACCCTCGGGGTGCAAGCCTGAAACCCTTGAGTATAGGGTTGCATAGGGTACATTAACCCCACATGGTGGGGAATTAAAGGAAAACCCCGAAAATTAAATGCAAATGCAATCATGTACTAGTTTATGGGAAAATAAGGTTTCCAAACAGTAGGCGTCCTTTTTGGGAGAATTCCTATAGAAGGACTATACTGCTTGGGTGTATAAGTTTGACTCCTATGTCTTGAAACTCCCACTTAGGAATACCTTGCCAACCCCTAAACCCTGGTTAAAATCCAGTCTAACACAACCTACGACATCCCCTCCCCTCCCCTATCCACCCCCGAATAATGACCCAATCCTCGCTTGTATATCAAGAGGATGAGGAATACGTGTTATTGGGCGGGTGGAGGGGTTCAGTCATACGTGATGGGGATGCCACTCAATGTTACGTTGCGTGGAGAGGTGCTTCCTCATCTGCTGCAATCCTTGCAAAATCCCGCAGCCACCCCTAAACCCCTTACCTTAAACCCATAACACTTATACCCCGCGCCCTAAACCCTGAACCCTTATGGATCCAAAACCCTTGCAAGCTCCGAAGAAACCTGAACCCGTATACATCCTGAATCCCTACAAGCCCTAATACCCTATAAGCCCTATAAGCCCTAAACCGCTAAGGCAAGTTTGTAAGAAGCTCACGCAGCAGGCAAAGGGCTGCTTCCCACTCGCCGGACCTTGGCAGCATGAGGCGGAGGCTACTTTCGTAAGGTTCTAGCAGGACCATATTTGGGTGGTTGTCAAAATTATGGTCCCTTTTTGGATCCCTCTTATAATACGGCACCTAATATTTAGGGTACCCAAAAACGGACCATAGTTTTGACAACCACCAATTTGTACCCTTAAATGGGGGTATATGGCCCCTATTGGTGGGTATTTAAGGCATGCAAAGGTAAATGGAGGTTCCAGGTTTACAAGGGATTGCAGCTAGATGGGTTTCAGGTCACCCCATGAAGTAGGTATCACTTCTAGGCTTGGCGCCCGAGGGCTATGAGGAGGAGGAGGGTTTGGAGCAGCCGCAAAGCACGGCAAAGTCAGACAGCTGTGGTGGCAACTAGAAACTCTTCACGGAAATTTCGCAGGCGCATGAGTCCCACAACTCCACAACCCTGCGCCCGAAACCCTGCAACTCGACAACCCCGAACTGTAAGTTCTAGATCCCTGGACTGGAATTGGACACTAAAGAAATGCTCACCAGAACCTTGAACCCTCCATCGTCAGAAGCTTCAACCTTTGAGCTGTAAGCTCGCAAAACTGCAGCCCTGGAACTCTGACCCCCGAAGCCCCAATGCCGTAATCAAAGACCAAAGATGACAGCCTTACCAGGACCTCCCCGCAAGTACCCTTAACCGGGATCCATGCAGGTCTTATTTGTGGGTACTTGGGCTCTATAGTGAGCCCTAAACCCTGTGGGTACTTGGGGGGGGGGGTCTGGGCAGCTGCCACACCCTGAAGCCCCAAAGCCCGAAACAAAAAATCTTTCAAGTCCGAAAACCCTAGGTCTTGAAAGCCCAAATGTATATAAAGGATCAATGCTAAAATTAATACTAGCTTCAGGTACTATTGCTCTGGAACATAATATCGCTAGAAAAACCTGAAACCCATAGCCATGGTTCCAGGCTTTGCGCAAGCATTGATGGCTGGCGCCGCGATCTTCGCATCCGCCATCAAGTGCTCACTTCTGATCATGGAGGTGGGTTTGTGGGGAAACCCTAAACCCTAAACCCCTAAACCCTAAATCTTTGGGATGTGGGGCTAGGGTTTGGGGGATCAAGGGCGCCACAGCTGAGAGGAAGGTAGATGGGCTGAAGGACATCTCTTTTGCTTGAAATTGGTAGGCTTGGTAGGCCAACCGCGTGTTTCTACACCCCATGGACCTTGCGGATAATCCTTGCCCCCTTTATATGAAGACCACCCGCACGCCCCTGATATTCATTTTGGGACAGTAAATCTATGTATATATGTATATATCATAGCATGCCACAGTGGGAATAATCCGTATTAGGGAGAGGGGTGGAGGCTCTAATGTTACGGGGGAGGGGATTATAGGTTTAAGGAATTTGGGGGGATTCTGGGCCAGGGGGGTCCTTATGCTTACATAAAGCCAAGTGAGGGGGTTCCCAAAATTAGGGGTCCCTTTAACGGGGATATAGGGGGTGTTTAAGGTTTAGGGTTTATAGGGTTTTTGGAATGTAGGGATGATTTGAGAAATCCCCAACCCAACTCCCCCAAATCAAGCCAGCGCAAAACTATTCAAATAGGCTTGAGAAGGGAAAGGGGGAAACTATGTAAATTCCCTGATGCCCTCTAAATCCTCAACCGTAATTCTCGCTAGAAAGCTCTGTCCAGGATGCTTTGGGCCCTGACCCCTGGAGCTGGCGGGGGGTTTAGGGTTTAGGGTTTGGGAGGGTTGGGGGATGCTCCTGACGCAGTTTAGGCTTGTCCTATAGACCTTAAGCCCCTCGATGCGAAACCCTCACATCCAAAATCTGTAAACCTCGAAGCGCCTACACCATAAGCCCTTCACCCCTAAACCCCCCCTAAGCGCCTAAACCCCAAAACAAAGAAGGTCGGGACATGCAATAATCCCCTCCCCTGCGCAGGGACCCCGGTACATTTTACATCTTAGGGGGAATGCGGTTTAGGGTTTAGGATTTAGGGCTGAGGATGAATATTTTACGGTTCGGAGATGCTCGGGATCATTTCAAGGACGCCCCTAAGTTGGGTAGTTACCAGGAGAACGCCCACATGGGGCTCTTATGAGCGTATACTAGCTACATGAAATCTACCTAAGCCTCGTTCAATTTAAGGGTAGCCACCTGAGAACTGCCCACCTGAAGGCTTCCTCCGTTATTATCAAGGGAGAGGGGACTACTTCGTAATCCCCACAACTGCTTGGAAGATACCATATGCTGGGACACTAAGTCTAGAACCATATCCACTTGAGCTTTCAAGTCAATAGACATGATACCTACTTTGGACTGATTTTAGGGTTGAGAGTTTGGGGTTCCGGGAAATCAAGCGATTTCCCGAAGCACTACAAGCCCGGGATTGAAGTACACGGAAACAACAGACCGACGCCATCCTCTGTATGCTAATCAACGCAAAAGCAACAACACGTCAAAGCCCAAACACGTCAAAGCCCAAACTTCTGAAGCCCAGCACACCCCCAGCTAACGAAGGGGCAGTTTGGACTCAGCTCAGGCGATCATTGAAAGGCGGCTTTTCCAAAAAAGTGCCTTCTTCATGTTTCACCTATCATATATCAAGGTTATATTGAGAAAATGCCTGTCGACCAGAGTGCCGAGGCACCCTTAGAGCATGTCCTCCAAATCGCCGAGAAGTGGCACTCCTGCGTCACTGGTTGTCCTCGCCCTTTGGCGTTGTTGGTGCCTTTGTTGGTTGTTCCGCCGCCCGTGTTGCTGGTGTTGTTGGTGTTGTTGGCGTTGTCGGTGTTGTCGATGTTGTTGGTGTTGTTGGTGCTGTTGGTGCTGGTGCTGCTGGTGCTGTTGGTGTTGTGTGTGTTGTTGGCGTTGTTGGAACCAGCGGAGCAGGCGCGTGCTGCACCACCTTGGATGTGGAAGCCGTAAGCGCTGCACCCAAACTTACTATTGCTCCCCGTGAAGATCCGGGTTACAGCACTCTAGGGAACAACTACCGTTAAGTCTTAGCGCTCCTTTTCTTGCGCCAGAGGCTCTCAAGGTTAGTCCATCAAGCTAACACGCACTGCGTCCTAACATGTGACAGTCATGCATGCTCAGCACTGCAATGACATGTAAAGCAAAAAGTGCAGACTACACGAAGGATAAAAACACCCCCTCGCCGTTGCTCTCAGCAAACAGCAAAAGGCGTATCAACGTATAGTGGCAAGCTTGGCTGCCGGAGGCGTCCAAAGATAAATACGACTAAAAAGAACATACGAACGAAACCGACTGGAGGTCGCCCTCAGTTCTTTTTCCCCAATTTGGCTGTACAGAGGGGTCTAGGCAACCCCCAACACCCTGGATCCCTCGACTCATAAAGCCTAGGGCTTAGGGCCCCCAATGCAACACCCCCAAACATGAGCTCTACCTGGACCTCGCGAATACCCCAAAACCCTAAAACCTACCCATGGCCCTCAGTCCCAAAGTAATGAGCATATAGAGGATCTTCATCTCCCGAAACCTCTCGGCACCTCGACTCGACAACAGCAAACGGCGCGTAAAACCCTGAACCCCTGCAACGCAAAACGGTTTTAGGGTTTAAGGTAAAGCTTGAAATCTCAAAACATGTGCCTGCACACATATTTTCATATAGACATTTATACATCAGTAAACAAATAGATAGGTCAAGAGATAGACAGTCGCCTTTCCACAAATAGGGGTCCGCAATATAAACCAGTCCATTACAATATAACCCTATATACTACAATGCTTGTTTGAAGGGACACCACCTACCCAAAAAACATGATTTTGGAGACACCGCATGGTCATAACCCCCTGCACTACCCCCAAAGATTCCCACTTGCTTCAGCTTATTTGGGAAGAAGCTCCCTAAACCCTAAACCCTATGGTAGCTCTCTAAACACTAAACCCTAAACCCTATGGTAGCAGCATCCCTTGCCTGAGCTCCGCCAACAGCTGAATTCCCTGCTGCCATTCGCCAGCCTGGATACTGCAGACCCTACATAGGTTTAGGGTTTAGGAGGTTTAGGGATGAATGTTTAGGGGCCTATACAAGTGACTGAGAATCACATGGAAAAGAACATGAAACTTTAAATTGAAACTTATGATCATATAGAGGTTTATACTGATCATCTACGTGATATAGGAGCCAAGATTATTCTCAATATCATTTTGACTTCCAGCAAGGCATCCTGTACCATTAGTCTACAACTTGCTTCAGCTTCTGTATTACTCATCGTGGGAAGGCGCTCTTCGGGACCTTTTCCTGCGGTGGTCAGGACATTTAGGGCTCAAGCTTCAGGGTTTAGTGTTTAGGGTTTGGGGACATCCCATGTATTGCGGGGCGTGCAAGTTATTTCTCATGGAGAGCCCTTTTGGGGGGAGTGGCGTCGCTTGGAGGATTGCAGTATCCAGGGGTGCAAGGGGCACCCCCCGAAATTAATTTTGGAGGCCCACGCTGCTATGGCCACTTATATCAGAATTGAGTCTGATAAGCGGGCCAATGTAGAGGACTATTCTTGTCAGGCACCGGATACACCGGATACTGTGGGGCAACATCCCCCCCTGCCGTGCTTCCAGGTGTAGAGTAGCTGCAACCAGGTAATGACAGTTGTGCTCATAGACCGATTATGAGCGCCCTGACCCCCCAAGAAGTTTCAAACTGCAATGTGGCTGTGGCTACAGTTCTGCTTGGGCTAAAAATGGTAGTTTCCCAAAATAGGGAGACCTCAATATGGCACCGCAAATGCTATAATCTTTGTTTTTGGGACCCCCATAAAGGTACCTCTGATTTTGGGAAATCCCCAAGTTACGTTGAACCTCAAGTAGGGGTTAAAAGACATGGAGACTTCTTTGGGAGCCAAGAGCTAAACAGTGTTTTGATATAAAAAAAGATGCGTGCAATTATCCTGGAAATTCTTTATCCCTCAATACACACATTTTTTTTGTTTCGAGGGATGACTGCCTACAGATCGTAGACGTGACCTCCTGATACTTCGAGTGTGCATTGGATCATGTTAATTTAAGCCCCTTCTGAGCAAGCGCTCAAGAGTGGAGGAGCTCCTTTTGGATCGAGGAGTTCATATGCTTGGAATGTAGAACACGCTAGGCACGCTTGCCGAAGCAATGTGTTGTTTCTGTACCGTGCCATGTTCCTGCACCCTGTGCGCCCAAAAATGCATTCCATCAACAGGAAGGCTTGAAGCACGAGATATTGTAGTCTCAGAAACTGTTGGTGCCCAAAGCCTTCATGTGGGGTATTCCGAAAACAGAGGTCCCTTTAATACTACAGCCGACTAATTCTGCAGTCCCTAGTAGTGGGCTTCCAGCGCAGGAGCCCTTATCTTCTCCTGTAGAACTGCAGAACCCTGGAAAGGGACCCCTAATATCTGGAAGAAGCTCCCCATATTCATAATACCCTGAACCCTCAAAACATGCCGTCTACGATGCTCAAAGGGGAGCTGTTCTCGATATCCCCACACAGGGTTTAGGGTTTAGGGTTGGGGTCCTACATGGTAGTACCATTTCCTCGAGAAGCCCCAAACCCCATACACCCCAAACTATCTGCTGAGTTCCCTGGCCCTAACAGGCTTTGCCAAGTTACTTTTGGTAGGATCACATATACCCCCACGTTTCAGGTTACCTGCCTCGCGGCTGAAACTGATAAGACAAAGGATCCTCTTTGGGCCTGGGGGCTATTGGGAAATTTATGAAAACCTAAGCCCAACCCCAATCCCTGAGCCCTTAACCCTAAGCCCTAAGCGTATTGGGGGTTTAATGAAGGCCTAAATCGGCCTAAACCCCAAACCGTGGGGCCCGTGGTAGTCCTATGATAGAATGTAGGTCACCTCCTCACAAGCTGCAACTGCGGAGTGATACCTTTGAAAGGCGGCGGTTGGGACTTAGAGTTCAGGTGTAGGGCTTCGGGGTTTGGGTATTAGTGTTCCTAAACCCTAAACCCTAAACCCCTAAACCCTAAACCGCGGGCTTTAGCGTTTAGGGCTT